CAATCCTTGGCTTCCTCTCGGTCTCCCCTCTTCTCTTAGTCCTCACGTGTGCTGTCCTCCACAGCCTGCCCGCCTATCTCCAGATGTTTTGTGAATCTGCCCCAGCATTTTTATTCCTACTACCACTGTCTTTTCCATGCCCTGATCTCTTGTGTGGACTTTTACAACAGCCTTTAGAAAATGCTGTGGGTTCCTCACCTCTCACACAGGACAGCTGGAGCATCACCTCAGGGCAGCCTTGGGGACTCTGGGAGTGCTTCTCCCTCCTGCCTAGACCATGCTGTGGAGTCCCCACTGTGCAGAGCCCCGGCATCATGCAGAGCCCCAGCCTCGTGCCCATGCCCTTCTCTCAGCCGGGCGGGGAGCTCTCTGCGGGCCAGTACGGTATCTCGGGCAATGGCGTGTCCTCGGTGGTCCTGACACAGTGTGCCATTTATGGGCCCTCCTTCATTCCCGCCTTATGCCTCCTCCCTAAGCAATTCCATTCTCAGTTTCCACGAATGCTGCTCCAAGGACGGTATCCAGGTAGCCACCTCTGCACCTGACCTCCCCAGGCCTCCAGAGCCACCTCCCCAAACCCTATGGAATATGATGCAGTTCCTCCAACTCAAGTGGGAAGAATACAAGTCCCAGTTTCTCCACCAAATGTGGCCCTGCTGCTCAGCTCTCTGTACAGATTATCGGCCCTGGCGTCCTTAAGTTCACCAATCCTTGGCTTCCTCTCGGTCTCCCCTCTTCTCTTAGTCCTCACGTGTGCTGTCCTCCACAGCCTGCCCGCCTATCTCCAGATGTTTTGTGAATCTGCCCCAGCATTTTTATTCCTACTACCACTGTCTTTTCCATGCCCTGATCTCTTGTGTGGACTTTTACAACAGCCTTTAGAAAATGCTGTGGGTTCCTCACCTCTCACACAGGACAGCTGGAGCATCACCTCAGGGCAGCCTTGGGGACTCTGGGAGTGCTTCTCCCTCCTGCCTAGACCATGCTGTGGAGTCCCCACTGTGCAGAGCCCCGGCATCATGCAGAGCCCCAGCCTCGTGCCCATGCCCTTCTCTCAGCCGGGCGGGGAGCTCTCTGCGGGCCAGTACGGTATCTCGGGCAATGGCGTGTCCTCGGTGGTCCTGACACAGTGTCCTGCTGGTTTCTTTATGGAATTTAGTTGGACAGAAATGATGATTAGGGGAAACTAGCCCAGAAAAAAAATAAAATTAAATTAAAAGCCTTCTATGGATGGAATTCTCTAATCATTTTAGTAAATGCTTGTGGTGATATAAAGAATTGCACAGGAGCAAAGGCTGAGAAGCCTCCTCTGTATTGTCTGGCGTGCACCTGTGCAGCCCGTGGCAGAGCTGAGGCTCCCTGCCTCCAAGAGCGATCCGGCCCTGGGAGGCACCTGCAGCCGGCGTGATGGGCACCTTGCCAGTCCACACTCCACACTCCCGCTTCATTTAGGCCTGTACTGTGAAAACAGGGAGTCAGAAGAATTTTCCATCCATAAAAACGAGCTGATAATCTACCTTGAAGGTGAATATGTAGGTCTCAAAAACACATAAAGAAACTCTTTCCTCTTAAAACACTAGAGCTTGGTCCTCCTGCCTCACTTTACAGATGAGGAAGATGAGGTATAGAGAGCTGCAAAGTGCTGGATGTCACATCACGTGTTCAAATGGAAACCGGAACACCAAACCCAGGTTTCAGAGGAGACAGAGAGGTTTGGAGGTCAGACAGATACGGATTTACATCTTAGCCTGGAGCTTACTTGAGCGAGTTAGTACCTGCTCAGATTGGTTTAACAACATGTCGCACATCCTCAATTTGCCAGGTATTGGCTATAACCTCTGGAAAGAGAGGGTGCCAGAGTCTCTGACTCTCATCTTCCTCATCCGAATGAAAGGGCGGGTGTTGCCCTACAGTGTTGATTGGGGACTAGGTGAACTTGTGTTTGCTGTGTGCGAGCTGCGCCCTGGCACCAAGTGTGTGCTGGGTACATGGAAGCTGTTGTCAAACCATGCTATCTTCCTGCTCATGTAACACACGGGATTGGAGCCACTTGCTCTGATTTGTTTATTTTTACGGCTCTTCAGGCTTGTTCACAAGATGGTTACAAAAAACACAGGTTTGCTATTTTGAGGAGCCATTTGAAAACCTGGAGCCATAATCGCATCTAAAGATCTTTCACTGGAAAACGTTCAGCAAAAACTTCCTAAGTCCCAAATGCTCCTGAGAACGTTTCTTTGTGCTGACACGTTTTGCTCTCAAGTGTCTCAAAGTTACCCGTTTTAATGGGACAGTCCTCAAGAGGGCCTTGAAGTAATTAACTGGTCATCTTGTCATCTCTCAAGCCATGTTATGACATGTTCCCCACTAGAAACTTGTCTTAGACAGTAAGGGAAACTCTTCCCATGCCACAGACTCAAAACCAGAACCTTAAACTCATATGCTAATTCCTGAGAATGTGCCTTTCCCTGAACCATCAATTCCAGCTGCAGTATTTAATTTATTGGCATACTTTACGTGCTGAAAGGATAAACAAAAAAAGATGTATGTCATTTCAATTCTAAAAAAATTTAGCTATATTCATGGATTTATCCCACATGATCAAAACCTAATTAAAAAGAATGCTTAAGATCAAAACCCATCTGATTTCAACCTCCTTCCTTATTGAAGAACCTATAGTGTTGAAATGTCGAGACAACTATGACATGAGACAGACTTTACAGGTGAAATGCAATAAAACTTCAGATCTAAATATGCATTTGGATGATGTACAGAAATCCAGATATTTGGGCAAGAAATGTCTGTCTCAAGGCCTCTCTCCTCTGGGATTCCTGGCAGTTTCATACTGGAAGGGACGTCTTAGAGACCATCAGATTCAATTCTGTAATTATGAGAAAAGATGCCTGGAAGCCACCTGCCAGGGTCCCAGAGCAGGTCAGAGCTGAACTCGGGATTAGAACCCAGGCCTGTGCAGGAGCTCTGTTAGGGGAGGTGGGCTTCATGGTGCACCACTCTCCTGGGGCTGTGCCATTGGCACACCCACGAATCCTGGATCAGTTGCCCATCAAGTTAAGTAGGGGCCTAGTTAAGTCAGGTCGCACCGAGCCGTACGATGGAGATGACGTCAGGTAAGAGGGATGACAGAGACAGAGTCATGGGTGTTTGCACCCCCAAGGGTAGCAGTGAGATGTGGACTTACTTTCTGGAGGGACCCTATCTTTGTGCGGGCATCCGGACAGGCTGCGGTGATGTGGGTACAGCCCAGTTACGTGGCCGGTTCCATCACACCCGGGGGTTGGACACTTGCTCTCTTTCTTTTCTGTTCTTGAGGGATCTAAAAGCGACAACAGGTGCCAAGAGAATAAATGTTTACCAATCAAAGACAAATGTGATTATTTCGCAATCTGAAGGAACCTTGCTAAAGAAAGAAATAAAGCAGGTGTCATGGGGACAGGCTGTGACATCAGACTTTTGCTTAGATAGTTCTTTGGTTTTGGGTGACTTTTTTCAACCTCACACAGTATAACCATGAATCATCAAGTATTTTAATTTTTATTCTAAAGAAAAGAAAAGCCTACCCCTCACCTTAACCCTGATTCATTATTTTCCCGTGTGTTACATGATAAGCTGTGTTGCTCAAAGGAATCAACGTAAATCGTGATGAGACAGTGACCTTCTTAGAGAACGAAATTCTGTGCCATCATCATTCAGCAATTTTCCGTGAAATTCAGCCAGAGAGCGTCATTCCGTTCAAAACCTCTGTAGCTGAATTTCTTTCTTATTGAGTGCTCTGATAGCATACACTAGAAGCTGCAGGATTTTACTGGCATTGAAATTTGCTCTCCGGAGGTCAGGTGACACCGTTTCGTAGCACACCAATTCGGCGCTTTTCGGACAATAAACTGAACTCTCAGAAGGCACTGCAAGCAAATGACCAAAACGGTGGAAAGCCCACCTGACAGAGGTGACGGGTAACCAACATGTTTCAGAAGCCACGGGAGCAGCCTTTTGTTTTGATTTCTTCATCTGTACTTGGAACCAGAGGAAGGCTCGTAGAATGCCGTGCATGCATACACAAAATTAAGAAGTAATGGGTTTCTACAGCCCTGTCGGCTTCTCTGCAAGTACCAGTCAAGGGCAAATTAGGGCAGAGCTTTGGTTAAAAGATAAATTCAATACTAGAGGCCAGAAATGTAATGATATTGCTCACAAAGTTATTTCTATATCCGGAATTGACTACAGTTCATAAATATGCAATATAATAACTTCAGAAAATATTTCTAAAGTAAAGCTCAGACCAAACAGTAAATCTAAGTGTGTGAGACACTGTATTTTTAGCCAGTTTTTGAAAACCAGTTGCTCAGATCACCAACGGATAGTGATCATTATTAGTCCAGAAATGCAATAGTTAAATTTTCTTTAGGGATTAGTTCTTTTTGATATTCCATGAATCAGGCCAATCATGATTGCTAGAAAGTACATGTTTTACTTTTGGTTAAGAATTCACTTTATATCAATAAAAAGCTGGATTTAGAATTTTTTGAACTTTTACGGACTTTTCATTCATTCGGGTGAACTTGAAATAGACAAAGGACTAGCAGGAGTAGACAAATGCCATCATGTTCATATAAAAACACTCCCCTTTTCTTTTTTAGCTAACATCGTATTCTGCATAATGTGCCTCTCCTGTGCTGGAAACTCTTAAGTCAGTTCTGGTGTTGAGGGAAATACCGTTAGTACAATCATCAGCTACTTTCCTACCATTATTTCAAGAAGAACTTTGAGAACAAATCTAAAATTACGTGGTTGTGGCTTCAGTTTCTAATTACATTACTGGAACTTCTCTTACACCTGCAAACAAAAGGCTGGCACCTTACTGCCTTTTCAGTAATTTCATCATAACGTTGGTATAAATTACTGTAAATACAAATCACTACAAATATAAAGTAGTAAGTGCACAGTAACAGTTTCAAAAGAAATACTGACAATCATAAACTAGAGATAAGAGATTTTGAACTAGATGTAAATGGCTAGTGGCCGGTGCAAAAAAGTGTAAGGTGTGTTATCTATTATTCATCCTTAAGTGATCCTATTTTATCACGACACTTACGACTACCTAACAAAATATATGACTTCCCAGATTTCAAAAGTGCTGTGAAATTAAGTAGGGATTTGCATGAAAACATTGTGGCTCCAAAGCATTTCAGGTTTTGGAAGACGACAAGGGTATAGTCTCCTCTCGATGCATGAGGTCCTGGTTGAGGTGGGGTCATGCTATTGGCCTTCACCGTTACCTCCCCTTGGTTTCTTTTCTCTTGCAATCTCAAAAGCAAACATACAAGCAAACACAAAATAACCAAGCAAGCAAAGGAACCAACACTTTAACCCAACACCTTGCAACAACTTACAGGAAAAAAAAAAAGGGTGCTGTTTAGCCTGCTCCCTTCACTCTGCTGGAGCAGACGATTGGGTAGAAGACAGAGGAGGTCCATGATCCAGGCCTTTTGCATTAGCTCAAGATTTTGGAAATGTTGCTCGTTGATAATTTAAATCAGTTTGAGAAGATTGTGTAGAAATGAGAATACAAGTGTTCTCTCCGTATTTAATAAAATAACAGAGTGTCTGAAAATAGAGCCTGTTGACACGCTAGTGGTTGCAGGAATTCTCTGTTGGCTGTGTTGGTGAGATAGTACCACAATTTTTATTTTTATTTTATTTATTTATTTATTTATTTTGAGATGGAGTCTCACTCTGTACCCCAGGCTGGAGTTCAGTGGCGTAATTTTGGCTCACTGCAAGCTCCGCCTCCCGGGTTCACGCCATTCTCCTGCCGCAGCCTCCCGAGTAGCTGGGATTATAGGCGCCCGCCACCACGCCCGGCTGATTTTCTGTATTTTTAGTAGAGATGGAGTTTCACCATATTAGCCAGGATGGTCTCGATCTCCTGACCTCGTGATCCGCCCACACTATTTTTTAAGGGAGGCTCTTTGCTCCACTTTGTTGGCCTTGCTTGGCTGTATGTATTTTGTTCTGAATATAACTACAGACATCTTTGAAGGACATTTGGAATAGTGTGGAAGACACTGACAGATACGGAAATGAGCTTTGGTGAAAGAGGAAGGCCTGGAGCAGCTGGGAGAGATGGGAGTCAAGGCCTTCTGCTTGCAGGAAAGTCCAAATCTGCAACCTTTCCTCACTTCAGGGAAAAAGCATGTCTCAGTTTTTACTGTTCATTCCCACCTGACCCCCATTTACACAGAGGAAGCAAGCAGTTTGAATTCCATTTTCTTGCAAACAAAACAAAACAAAACAACAACAAAACAAAGCGAGTCAAAATTTGCATAAAGCCGCTGAATGTAAAGAGACCAAGAAACCAAAGAAGCCACCGCAACATAGAATTTGCAAATCTCAATCAGCCTTCTCCTTTACACAGCATACCCTACATGACTTCATGCCAACACGCCATCCTCAGCTCTAGGATCCGGGATTCTAAAATGTAAGCCTAAAATATATTTGTCCAACTGAGCAATCACATGAAAAGAAGACACTGTTTCTTCTCCCAAAATTAAAATGTTTCCTTCCTATATGATTCTCAAAAATTCAACTAAAAATTTCTAATAGTTTTAGCCCATCTTGTTAACAATGATAGCACTGTAATTTTAAACATAGATGCTGTGTTCCATAGTCTTTAAAATGCCCAAATCAGGCCTGAAGCCCTGCTGAACTAGAGAATCTACTGATTCTCTTTCCTCTAAAAAACAACCCCTTCTCTACATAACAACACTGCAACGGGCAAAGCTTCACCTTGCGACTGAAATGTTGTCTGTGCCCAGGCACCTGCTGAGAGCTCCTGAGCCTCTGGCTAAGGTACCTCTACAGTTTGCATTTGGCTGTAGTGATGTCCAGCTTGCCGCTTAAGGTAGGTGCACACATTGAGAGGAGAATACACGTCCGTGCCACAGTGGGAAAAAGTGCAGTTTTTCTGATTGTTTGAAGTTTATACAGCAACTGATTTTCAAGTAAATTCCTGAGCTTCACTACTGGGTTCGCAGTGAGGAAACTCAGGATTTGTCATGAATAGAATGTAGTAAAAAACAGAAAAGGATCTTTGGGGTACTAACATAGAAGGATTTAATGAACTGCCTAATTTATGTTTTAAATTGCTTCTTACTGAGTTCTAAAAGAATATTGTGATGGAGATATCCACAAAGTCGAGGTTATGCATGAGGCTGAATTAGAACCTGCCTCATATTGAAAGTGGACACCGTCTTCTTTATAAACATGAAGACGATCATTCAGGTTGGAGATACATATATATACGATCTACTTACATACATATAGTATACATATATATATGTAAAGATAGCCAAATACATTGACATATGCAAACATGTGCCCACATATTTCATAAAAGAAAACTCAGCTCAAACTATCATATTGGATAGTTTTTGAGTGTTTTATAATAAACTAATATTTGAGAAAAGCGCCGTTTAACTGTTTCCACAACGGAATGGAATCAGTGAGGGGGGAATGAATATCCTAAAGAAATTGCTATTGATCTTAGCTGAGGCCACACCATGCCTTGCATAGCAAATGGTTTCCATTACCTTACTATCTTAAGATAATTAATGTGTAGTCACTGCCCTTATCTTACGTTATTGGTCATTCAGTTACTGTTCAATTTCTATCAGGGGTGTTTTCTATGAGGGCAGTTTCATCAATAACTGTCACCTGATGATAATTTTATAAATCATGATGCCACCTACCCAATCCAATTTATAAAATATGTGCTTTATCTCGGATTGACTAATTGTTACATAAACCCTTGCCACTCAACATAGATTGTGGTTCATTTATAACAGCACAGGCTTACCCTAATATTTTCTATCACGTGATGTGTCTGTGCTTTAACCCTGTCTTCCCAGGAATGCATTTCCCACTGAAATATCCTACTGTTCATCTGCTCTAATAATATGACGTTGAGCTGCTTTATGTATTTCTCAGACAAATATTTTATTTGCTTGTCAGAAACGTAATCACAAAATATCCTTCTGGAATCAACTCTAAGAATGTGCAGTAGAGACATAATTCAGTGTGAGTCATACTTTAACTGGAGACTACCACCAACATCCTTTACCCTAGCTCATGTTTTCATGAGGCAACTTACGTTAGGTAGAAATATTACCTTTACCATAGTATGGCTTTTTGACATGGCTGTCACTGGATTTAGGCTTTCTGTCCTCCCCGGGAAGTTGTCTCGGAGACTGGTCCTCGTATGACCTCATATTGTCCCTCCTCCCGGCTTCCATGGCCATCTTCTCCCTCATGGCCTTTGCTCTTTCCGTTTCTAAAGCAATGGCTTTCTCCAGCAGGGTCAGGTTCCCCTTGGTCATGTCGAACACCTCTTCAGACCTGTCCGAATTCACGGAGGTGGTATCGTCGTCCCGCTCATGACACCCGTCCTCCTTCGCACAGCTGGCAAACACTCTCGACCGAGGGCTCAACTGCTCCTCCAGCCGCATGAGGTTCAGCATGTCCGAGTAGTTTCTGTCCGGCGTCCTTCCTGGGAAGTCCTCTTCTGGCCGGACGTGCTGACGGATGTTCATGTTCTGCTGCGGGTTCCTCTCCTGCGGGTTGGTCTCACTGAGCTTCCTGGCCAGGTCGAAGCACTGATTCCTCAGACACTCCAGACTGCTCAGACACACCTCCTCATCGCTCTCCTCCACCATCTTTTCCATGAGTCCATTGTTCATGGGCTTCCCCAACATGACGTAATTCATATTTCTGCTATCTTGCTGCGACATGCTGTCTGCATAACTTCTGTCATTCATGTTATCTGAGAGCACAACACCGTGTCCTTGGGCTAATAATTTAAGGGAGTCCACTGTTTCTCTAACAACGTCACTGTCTAAGTCTAAACTCAACTCACTTTTCCGACCCAGGTTTTCGTTTTTGTCACTATCGTCTTCCAGACTATTGGAGGTATTGCTGTTCATTTCGGATTCAGTCCTGGCCCGGTAGGCTGCGTCCTCGGCGATTTTGCCGAGGTTTAACAACGACTTGGCCACCAGTTCATCGTAATTGTCATATTCGTCATTATTGTTATCATCCTTTTCTGTGTCTTGCATTATTCGAGTATTGTGACAATTCATTTGATGGTCTTCTGCAAAGAAAATAAAAAAGACAAAAAAGAAAAGAAAAGGAAAAAGTGGCTAGAACTGGAAGCTTAGTTGCAACAGCATGGATAGCACGTTACCTGCAAGTCAAACCGTCTATCATCTCATAGAACCGTAAGTCCCATTTGCGGCTGGGTTGAAAAAGTTGACATAAAGGAAACGGATGTTGCTAAAAAGCAGAAGGCCATTTAAAATACTTGTTGTGAATTATTAATTTCTTTAATGGATCTTAAGATAAACCAGTCAGTGTGGCAAATATGATTTTTAAAATATTAATTCTGTATTTTTCATACATTTTAAGAATGACTTATTTTCTCCATTGGCTTGCTTTATCTACAGCCTCGCCAGATGTGTATTAACTGTGCTCCTCACATTACTAGGCTTTCTAAGAGTTCATGAACTTTACTTGTTGCCAATTCTGAAGCAGATGTTTGCAGCAATTGCTTTTAAATGGTCTATTTTCACAGTGGCGTGTAGGCAACACAGAGGACAGCCTCAGGTTCCTGAGAAGTCAGGCCGGGGTGCCGGCTGCATTGGGAGCTCAGAATCATAAGCACACGTTGGGGCTGAATTAAGAGTTCTTTTGAATCCAATACCTTCCAGACAATTTATCATGATACACAGTGAAGCAACAGAAACTCCATAGTAAAAGTTTAGAAAGTAAACCTGATTCCTCTGACTGTGTCTCCACAGGGTTGAAAGTGAGAGAGAGCGAGCGTGCAGCAGCCGAAGGCCTGTAAAAGGCGGGGTTGAGGTGAGTTGGTGCCACCACTGCGCAGTGTTTGACCGCACAGGCAGAGCTGGCACATTCCTCCATCTCACAGCCTCAGGAAAAGCTTGGTGAGCGGGCATAATGTGTGAGTAAATGTCATGCTTCATCTCAAAAAAGTATTTGGAAAAACTCTTTAAAAAAGACCATGTTAAAAATTACATAAAACCCTTATGTTTTATCTCAAACGTATTCTGTTTCACACTCAAAGAGTATCTGGGATTTGCACCTCTAATCACCATGCTAGGTCACTGCTCCTATGTACATTGCAAAATATGAGTAATAATCAAAGGGTTCCTAAATGCATCTGTACCCTTAGATTAGATGTGGTTAACCGCATGCCATTTTCCCATCTGTTCTTCAGTTTTGTGATAAAACATCCAGAGTAAGAAGAATGCCTAAAGTTTATTAATGATTTAAAGAAATGAAGTATATTGACCTCTACAAAATACCAGTTCACTAAAAGCTGAGATGGGGGGCTCTGGTGCTTTCTCTACGGGTTTTATGCAGAAAAGGCTTTTGTTAGTGAAAAAAGACTTGGAGTTCAATATGTCAATAACAGAAAACAGTATCTTTGTTATCCCTGCTGAAGGAACAAATATTTAAGATCTGACACACCTTTCTAAACTTCAGCAAATCAAATTTACCTTTTATTAGACATAGAGAATCACTAATTATGTGAAACAAATATTGCCCTTCTTCTGGATAATTCCTATAAATCATCTTCTTTATTATAAGGATAAAAGTATTCCCCAAGAGCAGCAAAAAGAGAGAAAATCGAACTAGTGAAAGTAATCAGAAACACTGTGGGAGTATTAATCTCCAACGTACCCCTTGCTATAGCCTAGTGTTTAAGCTTTTAGGACTTGAAGTCAATCCTGTTTTAATGAATATTTGGAAATATAAAAGTCATATTCTCCTCTCAATTTATGCACTTTGTTATATTCATGGGCTGTGATTAGAGACGTTTCCCCAGAATAACAAGCTGAGTTACCCTGCACAATAGCTACGTTTTAACAGCCAGAATCACTGTGTCTATGAAGACCCAGCCATGAGATGAAAGATAAGCTATGATTTGAAAACAAAAAAGCACAGGCCACGTGTTGGAGCATTTTGAAAGTTGAGTGAAAGAAGATACCACAGTCAAGCAAGACACTATTTTCATGATGATCTCCTACGTTTCCTTTATGGAACTCATTGTGTGGTCCTGAAGAATTTGGAAAAGAAGCAAGACCTTGAAAGTGGTGAACAAGAAAAGAAACAGCCTGTCTAATCCTCTTTGCTGCTTCTAAAGCCACAGAAAGCCTACAGGTGGAACGGGTCCTGGTTCGCATCTTATGAACTTCCTCACCTTCCTACAAATGTGTTATGTACAAGACTGGTCATTCTCCACATTCCAAATCTCAGGATTAGCGTCAATTTGTTTCCCTCTACATTCTCCCTTCAGCAGCACATAGTTAAGAAGCACATCTCACCTTTTTGATAATCAGACACTTATCTGTTTCTCCACTCAATTCATAAGTTACCTTCCCCCAACAAAATTAAAACAAAAATGGACAAGCCTCTTCACGCAGGGTCTTAGCCGTGCTGATGTGTGAAGCTGAGAGCAGCCGAGGAGACAGTCCCTGAACTGTCTGGAGGCCAGCAGAATGCAGACCACCTCCGATGCATCTCCGGCTTTATACTCTAATCACAAAGCACACTGAGGGCACGGTTCGTCCTCATGCCAGACTGATACGGAGTTAGAAGTTCTACAGCCTGGCGCTCATCATGACTTGTGTGATGCTGAGGACCCAAGTCTCCAGGCCTTAATCTGCTCAGTGGGGATCGCAAAACTTCCTGGCCCTTCGTCAGATCTCCTACAAGAACCATGCCACAGGATATGCCTCCTAAAGACTGCAGTTTGCTCTCTTACCATTGGCCCCAGAGCCGACTCCTGGGGAGAGCAGCCCGTTGGTAGAAGAAATCTGGAAAAGGCAGTGGAAAGCGTATTGGCATCTGAGCACAGAGCCTGTCGTGTGCTTCCCCCCTTCTTCACCCCTTCTTCATCCTCCTGCTCAGTGTCATCTGAGCCTCTCCCAACAGCAGCAAATGTGGGGACAGCGGGAGAAGATGGCATGGGCGGCCTCAAAGCCTGGCAGGTGAATGGAACTTCTCAAGCTACCGGTCTTTAACTCTTTAAAAACATATGTGAAATGAAGTCAACTCCTAATTATGTGGCTCATGGAGGGGAACAGCCAGTCAATCATCAACAGGCAAGCTCTGAATCCCTGCTGGGCATCAGCCTCATCTGGAATTCAAAGTCGTTCACAATGAGCTTTTGGGATTCCCTCCCTGGTTGTGCACACTCCCTTTCAGGTATGCTTTTCTGAGGCTAATAATGAAATTAGTCACATGATGGGATGGGCTATGGGAACTAGATCAGAATTTTCTGCGCCAGTCTGGGGTTGAAAACGTGATGCAAATAATCCACAAAATGAACATTCCAACCTCAAAAATCAGGAGGCCATTTTACTAGGTTTTTTTTTTTTTTTTTTTTTTTTTTTGGAGTCTCACTTTGCTGCCCAGGCTGGAGTGCAGTGGTGCAATCTGAACTCACTGCCACCTTTGCCTCCCGGGTTCAAGCAATTCTCATGCTTCAGCCTGCTGAGTAGCTGAGATTACAGGTGCACACCACCATGTAGAGAGAAGGTTTCGCCATGTTGGCCAGGCTGGTCTTGAACTTCTGACCTCAAGTGATCCTCCCGCCTCGGCCTTCCAAAGTGCTGTGATTATAGGCATGAGCCACTGCTACCGGCCTCCATTTTACTAGTTTCTATGTAGTGACTATTGTTCTATCAAATAGGGAGAATGTATGTGTGATAAAAGAGCCCTTTATCAGGAAATTATTTTAAAGGACAAGTTTATGTTCTAAGTAAAAGCACGTATTTAGATGGAGATTTAAAGAGAAGAGCAAAGCATTCTCAGCTCCCTTTTTTGTGGTTTTCTATTTTAAATCTGTCATTCAGCAAAGCCGCACAGCAACGGACTCTGAGCAGGAGCCTCCCGTCAGCGAGGGCCAGCCCGGGGCTGCCCACACAGAGTTACCGCACTGGTTTGGAAATCAGAGAAGAGCTGGCCCAACTATTCCAGGTGAAAAAACCGAGCCCAGAAAACAGAAGCCATTCAGTGGTTGATCTCATGGGCCCTTCTACCTTCCTACCAGCCAATTATTCTACAAACCTAACTTGTGTTGTGTTACACATGAGACCTCAACTCCCCTGTGAGTGAGCTTTATGAAACGTTTTAGGGCTGAATTTTCTCTCTTTTGAGTCAGGTTGTTATAAACAATTTATGCTCCATAGTTACAATTAGAAAATGAAAACATCTTCGTAAACAAAAGAAATGTGGTTGCTGCGGGCCATTTATCCTCCACTGTCCTCACTAAGGTCTGGTGGAGTTAGAACTCTGGATTATAACTTTATATACAAGCCTTGGCTTCTTAGTGGTCCGTCCCTAAGATACACAACTTTTGATTCCTTCAGCATCTAGTCCTGATTGAACTACTGTTCTTTCTGGTCACTGACACAGGCCCCAGGCAAGCAAACGTACAACGGAATAGAAAACACAGAAGAAGCTGCAGGTGGGGACTGTACTCCAAAGCGAAAATCACCCTAGACTTCCCCGGGTCGGAGGAGACCTGGTCTGCAGTGAGTTTCAAATAATGAAGGACCATTACTTTCCATGGCATTACAGAGGTGGTGTTTTGTTACATAAATAAATCAATATCAAAATATTATCTTGACTTGTAAATACTGAAATATGACAATGTATTCATTCTAATGAAAAGATGATGGTGTTTTAATAGAAATCGCAATGATAAGGGAAAAAAGCCACATAAACCATCTATATATTTGTTTGTTTGAGACAGGGTCTGGGTCTGTTGCTCAGGCTGGAGTGCAGTGGCACAATCACAGCTCACTGCAGCCTCATTCCCCCTGGCTCAAGTGGCCCTCCTGCCTCAGCTTTTGAGTAGCTGGGACAACAGTCATGCCTCACCATGCCTGGCTAAATTTTGTATTTTTTGCAGAGACAGAGTTTCACTGTGTTGCCCAGGCTGGTCTCAAAGCGATCTGCCTGCCTGGGCCTCCCAAAGTGCTAGAATTACAGGTGTGAGCCACTGCACCTGGCCATAAATGTTTCATATACCATATCCTTCTGTGCAGAGGACATGAAGTT